TCCAGCTCAATTGAGGTGCCGCCAATAACAGAATTTCATTTTAYTTTAGGGATGGATGCTTTTCCATCRTGTATGTGTTCCCGTGTGATTTTTATCCATACTTCATTTGATGGTCACTTAAGATGGCTCAGGATTTTAGCTATTTTGTTGCAAGGAGCATAGGATTGCAGGTGTCTCTTAGACACCTTTAATATGATTTAATATTAAATGTGATTTAATATGCTTTATATTTAAACCCAAGATGCCATCACTGGACYGTATGGTAGTTTTATTKTTRACATTTTTGGAATCTCCCACAGTTTTCATAACATCTGTACCTATTTTCTTTCCCACCTACAGTGTGTGAGGGTCTCTTTCTCACCAYATATCTACCAGCACTTGATAAGCTTTGAATTTTTGACAGTGGCCATCCTAGTGACATTGAGGCTTGGATTTGCATCACCCTGAAAATTAATGAGGTTGAACATTTGTAAGTCGTCTGCTGAAAAACATGTTCATAGGCTAATGTCCCTATTTAATCAGGGTCTCTTGTTGTTGTTCTTGACTTTGTGTTTTTTTTTTTTCTTTTTTTTTTTTTGTTGGTCGTTCAAAACATTACATAGTTCTTAATACATCATATTTCACAGTTTTGTTGTGGATTTTTGTTTTGCATATTGATTGCATATCATGGTGTCCACTACAAGGCATTGCTGGTGCTGACGAACTGCGTCCCACTGAGCTACACCAACAGCTTTGCTATTGGGTATTTCAGTCTCTTTGATATATCCTGAATAAAAATGCACTATGAGACTTCGACTTTCCAAATAGGTCCAGCTAATAGGCAGTTAGTCTCTCCCCTCTGGCTTATTCTTTTATTTTCCTGTGAACATCTATTTTTAGTTCAACAGAATCCTATTTGTTTAATTTCCTGTGGTTTCTGTCATTTTGTTGACTTGTCCAAAAATTCTTGCCTAWTATAATGTCCTAAGTCTTTCTCTTGTTTTCTTCTACTACTTTTGTTGGTTCAGGTCTTATATTTATAAGTCTTTAATCCATTTTGACAGAGTTTGTAGCTTGTCAGGCACAAGAATCTAGTGACATTCTTCTCCATGTGGATGGATATGCAGTTTTTCCAAGACCACTTCATTGAGAAGTCTCTTCTTTCTCTAGTGCACCTCCAGAGCACCTTGTTAAAAATCAATTAGATCTAGATGCATGAGCTACTTCTAGGCTATCTATTCTTTTCCATTAGTACAAGTGTCTGCTTTTATGCCAAGCCATGGTGTGTGAAGCAGGAAGTGAATTAGGGCCCTTGAGCTGTTCTGCAACTGAGGCCATACCTCTCCTGGGAACTTCCATGTGCAGGTGCTGATTTAGGAGGGCCCAGTTGCTATGGTGATGCTCTGTTCAATAGGAGGCTCTGTGCCTGCCACACAGTTGATCAGTTCTTGACTTTGAAGTTCAGACCCCAGATGCCCAGGGGGTAGAAAGTTATGGGCACAAGCTGATAATCATAATTGGGCTGCTCATACCTATGAACTTAGTTTTGCTTGTTTTGAAAAAATTTTCCAACAAAAACCTTTTTATGATTATCCTCATATAATACAAATGCTGAGCTTGTTCTGTGTCACTATCTAACTGCCAGGGATTTAGTGAAGCAGGAACACCAGCTTTTCCCCTATTTGTGTGTKTGTCTTTTCTCCATACCCTCATCACCTGATCCAGTTACCTAAATTAAAGGCTGTGCAGGTCCCAACACCAGGCTTTTTAGGTTCCTATAGCTTTTTAGTGTATCTAAGTTTTGAAKTCATGTCATGCCTCTGATTACATTCTTTTTGAAAAGGAACATTGATCTCAACCACAGAGCACATATAATATTCAGRGTCACTTTTATGTATACAAAATTGTTTCCTCCCCCTGCAGGCACTTTCTAACACTTATTATTTCTTCTCTCCTAGTTAAGAACCAACCTAACGGGTGTGAGGTTGTGTCTCCTGAATATGATTTGCAGTGTCCTAGTGGTCAATGATGATGAACACCTGCTTCATATGGTGTGGACATTTGCATATCTTGTTTGGGAAAACATTTTTCAAGACCTTGCCCATTTATAACCTGTTTAGTCTTGGGCACTTTGTCTATACACCAAGGTGAGTGACTCACATAGTTTAGAAAGTAAAACTGTACTACTCACAACATTTTTAAATGCAGCTCTCATCCCATTGCTGGCTTTTCAATGTGGTGAGGGTCTCCTTTGTGTGAAGAATGTCTTTAGTTTGACATAGACCCACTTGGTAATTGCTGCTATTTTTTTTCTGATTTGGAAATCATATCCAAAAACTCACTGACATCACCAAAGTCAAGGAGTGTTTCACCATATTGTATTTGAGGAGTCCTAAATTTTCAATTATATGTCTGAATCTTTGCTCAACTTTCAGTAGAGTTTTGTGTGATTTCAGATTAGGACCCGATATCATATTTTGCAGGTGGGTATCTACTTTTACCAACAACATTTGCTGAAGAAATACATGAGGATAGCTCAGCATCCTAGTTGAACTTTGTGGGTTCTTAGCAATGAATTCAACATCAAATTAGGAAGTACTGACATTGAACTATAATACCTTAACACAAGGGGGACCATCAGATTCCAAGGGCACATGTGCCATATGGTGTCACTGATTCACTAAGGAACWGTGGCCATGTTTATCATAATGGAAAATAATCAGAACTGTGGGACTCAGAGAGATATTTGGCATTGATCAATTGATAAACAGGTGTGCAGAAATAAAACAAATGACAGTTCTGCCTAATCCTTTCTGGATTTTAGAAGGAGAGAAACCCCATCTGTTCTGAGGGTAAATCTGACTCAAATCTCTAGAACAGGYTTCATGGCTCCTCCATTAACTYCCATCCTGGAGCCAGTCTGCAGACACAGAGCTGCTGTGTGGAGSGGGAGGGAGCTGCCCATGAGGGACCTTGCTGCMCTGCCAGAGCAMACTGACCCCTTSCTCCTACTCTTCCCCAGTGAGAYGGACGTTCACCTAATAGAATGACTGGTCACGGCAAGGAGGGAACCATCACATATTTCAGCGATAATTAACACTGGGTAWGAACTGACGATAATGGAAACCAAAATGTTCTTGAATCCACCAATAAGAGAAGGGACTTATTAGGCTTGTGATCAATGGAGTTTTCTGGGACTCAAGGTGTCTTGTATGATATCCACTATCAGTTAGGAATGATTGATGACTTTTACTTCATGTATTCCTATGGTTACTTTCAAGATATTTCTTTGTTTGAATTTTTAGCAACTACAGGTTTGTAAAGTCATTGATGTGTCAATTCGTGTAATAATTTCTCTCAATTTCTGAATGTGGTGTTTTATCTCACAAACTTAGGGAAATACTCAGTCATCTCATCTACAACCATTGTGTAAGCATTCTCAGGCACAACTCATGCAGAGTTCAAATTACTATTTATATTTTGCTGCTTTAAAAGACACACAGGTATTTGTACAATCAAAGAAAAGTGATGTGCTACCAGTCATGCCCGAGAGTTCCAATGGCCAGTGTGTTCCCATTTCTCTCTTTTATCTCCCACTTGACAGGTGTGTAACAATGTAATCATGTGCTTCATTAGTTTCAATTATTTTCCAATTATGGTTTCTGATGCACTTTTATTTTCTCCACTCAATTCCCACATTTTAGAGTGAAGAAAAATCATACTTGCATAAGGAATATAAAACCCAGCCAAACCTTGATACACTATGTCCAAAAGTCAGGAACCATTTTCTTTTTCACCTAGGTATTGTCTGTTGTTGGTGCTTGGTCACCTCATCCTCACGATGTCACTTTTACGCGTCATTCATTCCTATCAGCACTTCCGGGATTTGTACTCCCTGCCCTGGAGTCCACACCAGTGATGGGTCTGGGGAGGGCTCACTCTGTCTTGTTCTCTAGGCTCCATTTTGGGAGAACTGTGGATCTAAGGCACTCGTAAAACCTTTGTCTTCAAAGACACCACCATTATATGAAGCAAATAAACTCTAATTATGGAGTATGACATAATAACAATAAATCATTTTAAATCTGTGTTATCGTGGAATAAACAAACCACAAGAAAAGGCCTTCACCATTTCTTCCTAGAGACTTAAAACATCCCAAAACAAACATGGTCATAAGAAAGACAAAGAGGACACATAGGTATGAAGGAAGGCCCCTAGGCCAACTCTGAAGTCCTAGAGGGAAGACGATCGGCACATCAACAGCATCAATGATATTTCAAAAGGCTCAATCAAATACTTGATGGCTAGATCTGTGCATTCTACAGGAATATGTGTTTTGACTCATATCAGAAACAGGAAGATTAAGTTCACTGCATTTCACATCAGTATGTGTTGTGGATAACTGAAGACAGAAGGACAATATCAGGTATCACAGAGGCAACTAGTACCCTCTTGAAACAAGCCATGATTTGTGATCAATACAAACTCCTCATATATTGGGGAAAAATGCATTCAAATTGTGAGTCAGAAATCAGAAAACACAAAAGAAAACTAAATTATTTTCATTATGTATCCATGTATCATTCTATCAATGACACAACTATAAGTCTCTATTTTTTCACATTTCATAATGTACATAATAMATTCTATTATCATTCCATTCTAATATCATTCAATTCTATTTTTAAATACTATGAACCTCAAAATGTATTCTATTAATCATAACTAAATATACCTTAATCTTAATACGTGTCAATAGAGTTTGAGGTTTACAAGGGAAATGAAACCTGCAAATATCTTGAGGGCCTTAGATATGTAGAAGAAGCACCCGTAACCATCTTCCTATGAAATCTGTCATAGGACTGTCACCAGCTTTGTGGTTTGGAAATGTGCCTCTATGCGTATCATCTACCCTAACTTGATTTTTCCCTCACATACAGCAACAGAAATCTAAGAATTATTTCAAACTTATTTACTGAAAAGATTAATGAAATAGACATTTTCTCAAAGTCTTTCCTTCTCACTGAGCACGACAACACTCAGCMAGGTGTCCATCCCTGTGAATCAGCACAAATGGGCTGAGGACAGCGTAGCCAAGGTCCACAAGTTCTAGARCAMTTACTTCTAGGAAATGCTTCTCYAAGRAGAARRTTACATATAAAGTCATAAAGCAATCTGTCCAATAGAAGAAGAGAAAGCAGAGCATCAGAAGGAGAACACTCTTTGCAGCCTTCACCTCAGGGGGGGTTCTGTGGAGGAGCTTGGAGGTCTGAAGGTGGAGCACCTGCTGGTGGTGCTTGTGGAGGAGGAAGACCAAGTAGCCACTGGCCCAGCCCATGACACCCTGGAACACAGCATCTCGAAGGACCATGAGAANGAGAATGGGCTTTTCAACTTTTCCTGAGGACTGTGGATGATAGGGAGTGTGTAGCTTCTAGGAAAAGTTCAAGGGTGGATGATGCCTGGTGGGACATATGGGAAATGAAAGGGGGGCATGAGTGGGGGGAGGCCAAATCTGAGAATGGTTTCCTCCAGAACAACTTTAGTGACGATGGACAAACTCTCTGTGGTTGCAGGAGAAGCCTCTATTCATCCTGAGAAGTCTGCTGGGCAGGGTCCAAAGAGCACGTGTGAGGAGGGGGAAAGAAGGAGAAGGAGAGGTGGGAGTGGGATGGGATGTGAGGTCAGGAGAAGGGCGACGAAGGACGGGGCCAGCAGGGAAGACGTCCACCTGTGAGGGGTGAAGCTGTGGCTGGGAGAGGAGAAGGAAAAGCACAGGTGGAGGTGAGAAAAGTGCAGGGGATCCTGGGGGTCAGAAGAGGGAACATCACTGAGATTGGGAGATGACAAGGTTCAGGGACAGCAAACAAGGAGACCTGTGCAGAGGAGCAGGACTGACAGAGGGATGAGAGCAAGAAGAGGAAGGTTTGCGTATAAGGAATTCTGCCCACTCGCCACAGCAGTGACAGAAGTTCTGTAAGTCCTGTGCAGTGCTGGGATTGAAAGTCCACTCTCCAGCCAGGAGGAATCATCCTTTTTAAYTTACACTGGGGCCAGGCTGAGGTAAAATAGAAAATGAGCCTGCAAGGTTTGAGCTCTGGAGACAAAGTGAGACGCCAAAGGTTTTTGAGGAGCCAGCCAATGGGGGAGTTGAGGGGATTTTAGATGGGGSAGACCCCATGGCTAATGGTACTCAGGAGCCCAGAGAAGGGAAAGAGAGAGGGAAGGACACCCCACCACACCCCTGATTTCCCATGTAGAAGTGGACCGTCAGTGATGGCCATCAAAAAGAACCAATAAAATGATAAAACAGTCCTAAATTCCCTGAAAAAAGAATACTCAGAGCTGACATGACTAGGCTACGTCAAGAAAAACAGACATCTTCATGCCTTTCACAATCCTGCTGCCTTCACTTTTCTACAATATTGACGACAGCAGAGGTATTTGGACAAGATCTGCCTCTATCTAGGAAAATTACGAGCAAAAGCAATTGCTCATCGCATCCCTGGAGGAACACAGAGACTACTGGCCCATGGAGGCCTTGAAGGATGTAAGCCTGGAGATCCCACGTCTCCATTTGACCCTCCTATCTGGCCTAGGTAAAGGACAGATGGATCTTGAAAAATGACAGGGAATGATGACAAGTTTTTCAGGTGGGAATCACAACTGAATGCATTGTTCCCGAGAGTTCATTGATGTTKATTGATTGATTGATTGATTGCAATCGAACATCTTCTTTTATGTGGTGTTAATGCAGCTGTCGATGATGTAAATGTGTTTTTCTCCATCTTTGTCCACCAGACATGTGAATACTAGGTAGCTTAGAGTGGCCAGCACAGCAACATGTCTTCACTCTCCAGTCTTGGGATATTTATGATCTCTACCTGTCACTGTCATAAATTTTTTTTTGCAGGGACACATTTAAACAGCTCAGGTGGGAGGCCTAGATTTGGGCAGGTCTTCCCCATCTCATGAGCCCTGCAGAATGTCCCTGTCACTATGCTGCACCTCTTGAGCATGTGCCGCCCTTTTCCTGGGATCAGATATAACCATAATGCCTGTCCACTGTCAGTAGTCACATCTGAGATTCCATGTGACTAATCCTTCCTCCACAGAGAATTATGTAAGTTTATTYTCTTTGTCTCTCTCAGAGATAGCTGGTGAATTCTTCCTCGTTTGCTGTGATGAAAACTAACCACAAAACTCTGATGTCATCGTTTCTATAAACATAGAGCTCTGAAGTCGCACACCTTTTATCACTATGACCAACTTAACTGACGAGAACGGGTTAGAGTAGGAAAGCTTTGTGTTTATATTTGTGTTATCTTTTATTTCTATTTATTTATTGCATTGCTGAGAAATGAAGCCAGGGTTGTATACCACTGAGCCACATTCCTACTTCTTTTTTRGTTCTGTTTGGTTTGGTTTGGTTTTGATTTTGAGTGTAGGTCTCACCAAATTGCCCAGGCTTCTGTAAACTAATATTCCTCCTGCTTCAGCTCCCTAGGTGCTGGATTACCTGTGCACTCAGAGGAGGAAAGGTTTATTTTGGCCCATGGTTTCAGAGTTGTACTCCAGGGTCTGACTGCAAGGCAGAAACATCAGGGAGGCAGAGAAAACTGCTCAACTCATGGAATCGGGGAAGCAGACAAAGAAAAACAGGAAGAAACCAGGGTCAGATACAGTCCCCAATGCCACACCCCAGGTGACATGATTCTACTTGCCACACTACACCAGGCTATAGTGAGCAGCCAGTAGTACATTCAAATTTTTTATCTATCAAATGGACTAATGAGAAGATTCCAGCCCTCATGACCCAATCACCATCTGACTGAGTCAGGCACAACTCTGAACAGTCCTACATTGCCTGACATGAGTTCTAAGCACAAAGCATAGCATTCCAATCCCGGCCCTCTATTGTCGTGCCAATCTCACAGTGCAAAATTCAGTCCATCTCCAAGAGCCCCATGTCTTTCCCATTAGAGCAGTGCTCCAATGTCCAGCACCTCTAGCACTGAAGACAAACTCTTGGCTGTGAGCCACTGGAAAAATCAAAAGCAAGTTCCATGCATCCTCAGACAATACCTYTGAGGGAAAGTTCTCAATTCAAAAAGAAAGAATAGGAGCATAGAAAAAAAGGGCTGGCCCCAAAGCAAGACCAAGACCCAGCAGGACAAGCACCAAGTCCTACAGCCCCAGGTCAGACATCCAGAGCACCTGGTGGTGAGAACATTTAAGGCGTCCCAGAAGCAAATGTGTCACCAAGTAAATGGAAGTTGGAAGGAAACTTCTCTCTTCACAGTGTCAGACACTGGTCAAAGCAGGGCACACTGTTCTGGGCGCTCACCAAGTTGAGGGTGTTTGCATGGCAACACCTATATGCTCTGAAACTTGATGATTCTCACATTAAGGTGATGATGTGCCACCCTTCCTCCTGTCAGTTATGTGACCACAGTTCACGAGTTCTCTCTGTCCACCCATATGTGACTCAAGGCACAAGATCAAGGTGACCTTGCTCATCTTCAACTTTCATCCATTTCAGTGAGATCTGGAATGTTCAGGTGGTCTGACTGTAGTCCTTCTGATCCCTTCCAAATAAAGAAGCCCATACCAGAATCTCATAGTATACTGGTGATATAATTAACGATATGCATCACATTAATTATCTTGACAGCTGAATTTCTCAGAGTTTATTGGTTATTTAAATGACCTAATTTACACATATTTTTGAGTACCATGAGCTGTTTGTGTACATATATACATTTAATAATATTCAAATCAAGGCACACAGACACACATGCACACATGCACACACACACATAACCTCAAATATTTATATCTATATACACACACACACACACACACACATATTTTAATACTGAAAACAAGGAAACTATCTTCCTCAGCTTTCTGAAATATACACTGCATGACCATTACCCACTAATACTGCAGAATCATATCCCACCTGAACTCCCTGCTCCTAGAAACCTGGTAACTATGAACCATTTATCCATTTCCCCATCCTTCCCTTACCCCAGTACTCTGATGCTAACTGTTCTGCTCTCCACTTCTAGGAGGTTAATATTTTCCCATTCCACCTTTGATTGACACCTTGTGGTGCTTGTCTCTTTGTACTATTTTCTGCTGCAGTGAATGTAGAATTGCAGGTGTCTCTTTAAAATGATGATTTTATATTCTTTAGATTTAAACCAAATGTGGGATCTCTGGATCATGTGGTGGTTTTATTGTTACTAACTTTTGGATTCTCCCACAGATTTCATAATATCTGTACTTTTTCACTTCCCACCTACAGTGGGCGAGGGCTCCTTTCTTACCACACCTCTACCAGAACCTGTTACCTTCTGTCTTTTTGAGGCTTGTACGTGCATTACCCTGATAACTACTAAGATGATTGAACATTTGTAAATTGTCTTTTGGGAAAGTTGTCTATAGGCTAAGTGCCCCTTTTTAATCAGTGCCCTTTGTTGTAGCTTTTGAATTTGTTTGTGTATTTTGTTATTGATTTTTGCTTTTCATGTTTGTTTGCATATCTTGGGATCCAACCCAAAGCATTGTCTACACTGACAAATGGTCTCCCACTAATCTACACCAACAGCTCTTCCTATTGACTCTTCTGCATACATTGAATATAAACCCCCTGTGAGATACATACTTTCCAAATATGTTCAACTGTTATGTAGTTAGTCTCTTCCCTATGTTTTATTCTTTTCTTTTCCTGTGCAGAAGTATTTTTAGTATTCTAGTATTTTCTTGGGTTTCTTCTCCTTTTGCTGACTTGCACAAAAATYCTTGTGTATTATAATGTCATAGTCTTTCACCTGGTTTTATTCTACTACTTTAGTTGATTCATACCTTAAATTTATTTTTTTAATTCATTTTAATAGATATTGTAGCTTATAAAAGAAAGAGTCTACAGACATATTTTTCCATGTGAATAGGCAATTTTTCAGGAGAAATCCATTGAGAAGACTGATTTTTCTCTAAGAAACCTTCAGAGCACCTCTATTGAAACTCAGTTAACTGTAGATGCACGACCTACTTCTAGCCTCCCTATTCTTTTCCATTACAAGTGTCTGTTTTTATGCCAATACCATGCTGCCCTAATTCATAGCACTTTATGCTATATTTTGAGCTCTGAATTACTGTAATGCCTCCTACTTCATTCTTTTTGCCTAAGATGGATTAGGTWGTGTTTTTAATTTTTCAGGACTATCCATACACTTTTCATAGTGGGAAAGGAACACTGATCTCAACAACAGTGCAGACATAATATCCAGAGTCACTTTTCCATATCCAAAATGGTTTATCTCCAGTTTCTTACTAACAATGATTATTTCTTCCATCCTAGTTAAGAAGCAAGCTAGCTGGGTATGGTTGTCCATGACTGGAATCCCAGTGGCTCAGGAGGCGACAGCAGAGGGATCAAGAGTTCAAAGCCAGCCTCAGCAATC